CCCACTGACACCAACGATGGGGCACTATTCCTCCCACTGACACCAGTGATGGGGCACTATCCATCCCACTGACATCAGTGATGGGGCACTATTCCTCCCACTGATACCAACGATGGGGCACTATGCATCCCACTAACATCAGTGATGGGGCACTATTCCTCCCACTGACACCAGTGATGGGGCACTATTCATCCCACTGACATCAGTGATGGGGCACTATTCCTCCCACTGATACCAACGATGGGGCACTATTCCTCCCACTGATACCAACGATGGGGCACTATTCATCCCACTGATACCAACGATGGGGCATTATTCCTCCCACTGATACCAACGATGGGGCACTATTCCTCCCACTGATACCAACGATGGGGCACTATTCCTCCCACTGATACCAATGATGGGGCACTATTCCTCCCACTGATACCAATGATGGGGCACTATTCCTCCCACTGATACCAACGATGGGGCACTATTCCTCCCACTGATACCAACGATGGGGCACTATTCCTCCCACTGATACCAACAATGGGGCACTATTCATCCCACTGACATCAGTGATGGGGCACTACTCCTTCCACTGACACCAATGACATGGCACTACTCGTGCATGCTGATGTCTGTTCAACTGATGCTGTCTGATGGCTGGCTATTATCAAACAATCCTGCTGGAAAACCAGCATATGATCAGTGCTGATCAGTGTATTCAGTGGGTGGAGAACTAAATATTACAAAGCAGGGAGAGCATGTAAGGATTTTGACAGCATATGTGAAATCTCACCTTGTAAAATAAACCATCCATTTCATTCACATATCCTCTGTTCTCAGCTGCATAAGGATCTTAGAGAGCTGAGGGAGGAGAAAGAGTGAACTAAGCACAGCTATAAAACTGACAACACTGTGCTCATGCCTAGTGTGGTCGGTTTCTAATAGGAAAGCAGAGGGACTGGCAGGAACACCAGGGATTTCACATAAATGGAAGCAATACAAAGAGAAAAGGATACTTTTTCATATAAGTACATGGTACAGCTGGCACATATCAGGAACAGGAAATGTTAGGTTTACATATTCTCAAGCAAGTAAAAAGCACTTAACGTCCCTAGCAGTATTCCCAAGTGTAGCTCGGGGTAAAGTTTCAGTACCAAAAGCGCGGTAACCCCGAGCTACACTCAGGCTTACAATGCGGCGTTGCTCAGGGATTCCCTGCAGCTTACCTTGTCCTTCTCTCCCGCGATGCGTCCCCTGCAGCGTCCCCGGCATCATCTTCTCCGGCCGATGCCGGCATCCAGCTTCCGTGTTCCGGTCCCTGCGAGCATCGGGACGTATGGGGGCCGGAACCGGCGGCAAATTAAAAATTTTTTAGAAACTGTCATTTTCTAATAAATGAATTTGACATAGTATAACATTACTGTATCAAACCATTTCACATACATTTTGTCCCTACTGCTTTGTCCTGCGCCCTGCCTGCATTTTTACTGTTCTTTCTACCTGGAAACTGAGAAACGTCCATGGCGTCCAAAAAGCGTCCCTTTAGGTCAAAATCGGTTTTAGACCAGCTAGAGAACAGCGATAGTAAATCAGAACCACTTGCAGAATTGAGTGATAATGATTCATGTGGGGAAATTCGTCATCAGACACTGAAAACGATTTTGTGACTTTGCTCAGCGATGTGCGAACTTGGTACTATATTTCAAATTTCAGTGTTTTTGGTTTGATTATATCATTGAATTAAATTTATTATTATATTATTTTTATGATTATTTATTAAATTATAATTCATGATTTTGTGTTTCAAGTTTTATCATATCCGGAATGTTTACTAGACTCTTGTTTGGACAGATTTCAGTGAGTTATTCCTAAAATTTACAGGCCTACAATAAAAAAAAAATACATATTTCCATGGAAAAAATGTACCGCTTTCAGCACAGAAATATGGACATAATCATACCGCTAGGGAGGTTAAAAGTAATCTGATATTTATTTAGGTTTTGTGTTTTCAAAGTTACGTTACATACAGTCGTTACCTATATAGTTACATAGTTGGTAAAGTTCAGATGTTTATGTTCCTTGTTAATGTGAACTTGTAACAAACGTAAAGTAGGCGTTAACCCAAATTTGGTTGCAAAAGTGGAAATATACTTTACAGTGCATTGTGGGTTCAGGGTATTACAACCCTGCATGCTGCAGCTTTCCTATAAATTCCATCAAAACACAGAGCTTATTTGTAACGCATGTAACACCAGCCTAAAGCTCCTCAAGAATGCACTGTACATCTCATGCAGAGGAATGAGTTTAGTTTTTAATCTCAGCTGGGTCAGAAGTCATGGCTCCTTGTACAGTCTAGGGCTGGGGCCAAGGACAGGGACTTGGGAATCACTTTGAAGGGTGGTATTGGTACTTGGCAGACACCACAAAGTACTATACTTCAGCTCCATTTCTGCCTTGTTGGCCATACAATGCTAGATTTTAGAATGAACATTCATAAAAAAAATGTCATTGATAAATTCTATGTCAACAGAGCCTTGAATGAATGTCACTCAAAAGTACTTCAACATTTTGTTTACTTTTAACATTCAGATGTTCTCATCACTATAGTTAAACATGAACATGGAATGACCCCACTAACCACTGGAAAATTGTACAAATCTTATAAAAAATTTCAAATTAAATTCTGATGTATGGTTAACTTTTAACTTTTCAATGTGGACAGAAGACGTAGCTCCATGTATAGGCTGGGTTTGGGGTCCAAGGACCTGAACGCGGGGATCGCTTGGAAGGCTAACACAGGTACTTTTCAGGCACCACAAAGTAATGCACTTCAGCACTGTTTCTACCTTAATAATGCTTTAGGCCAAGTCAGGATCCTGCTAATAAATGGACTGTCAGTGTGTCTAGATTAATGCCTTAGTTTAGTGTCCAGGCACAGAGCAATGTGAATGTCACACTTTCTGCTTTCCTCTGTAGAATTGAAGATTTAAACCGAAGACATGAAATCCACTGTATTCCCATTAGTACAGCAGTGTGAATACAAAACAGGAAAAGTGATATCAGAGCTGTTTGTCTGCTTTACACTACTAACATCTTGTGTCCCATATGATAAATTCATTTTAAACTGTGCTAATTCAGAATGTTACTGGTTGTGTGTAACATCTAGCCTAAAACCCCATAGGATGTCCACTTTTATTGTTATTAGACAGAAAAGACTTTGTGCCCTTCTCTGATTTGGATGCATTTTGTTATTGGGGCTTGACTTAGTGGATAAGTCCATCCAACTGCTATTTTGCTGTACAATGAGACTGCTACCATCCAATCAATGAACATATTTGCCAGCACACCATGGATCATCAAATGTTGCCCAAAGCTTTTATTGCAGAAAGTTCACAAAGGACCAAGAGCAACGTTTCTGCTCTGCTCAGGACCCCATCATCAGGCATGTATATACATGCATCTAGTGCCAGATGAGGGGGTCCTTTTCAGCTCTGAAACATTGCACATGGTCCTTTTGTGATGTGATCTTTCTGCAATAAAAGCTTTGGGCAACATTTGATGATCTATGGTGTGCTGGCGAATACATGCATTGATTTGTGATGAGTCCAGTTTCCAGCTGATAGTTGCTGCAGAACTTGCTTCTGACGAGCCAGTTTCCAGGAACATGCACAATGGGAATATTGGCAATACCTTTCTACCATCCAATGAGACATCTGCTGTCCAGTAAGACCGCTACTGTCCAATGAGACTATTACTGTCCAATGAACACTTCTACTTTCCAATGATACTTCTAACATTCAATGAGACTGCCGGTGTTTGATGAGACTGCTACTGACCGAAGAAACTGTTACTTATCAGTAAGAATGCTATTGTCCATTGAGACTACTGTCACTATCCAAAGAGACTACTACTGTCCAATACAATAAGACTGCTACTGTCCAATGAGACTGCTACTGTCCAATGAGACTGCTACTATCCACTAAAAACTGCTACTTTCCAATGAGACCGCTACTATCCGATTAAAACTATTACTATCCAGTGAGACTGCTACTGTCCAATTAGACCATTGCCATCAGTTGAGACTGCCAATGACCAAATAGACAGCTACTGTCCAATGAGACTGCCACTGTCCATGAAACTGCTTCTGTCCAATGAAACTGCCACTTTCCCATGAGGCTGCTACTGTCCAATGTAACTGCTACTGTCTGATGAGACTGCTGCTGTAAGTGCTCATTTCTGATGAAACTGCCATCTTCCATTGAGACTGCTGCCATCCAGTGAGACCACTGCTATCTAATGAAATTGCTACCATTCATTGGCAGGACCCAGTAACAAAGTGGAATTATTAACCACTTCCTGTCCAGACACTTTCACCCCCTTCCTGACCAGGGCAATTTTCAGCTTTCAGCACTATCACACTTTGAATGACAATTGTGCGGTCATGCAACACTGTACCCATATGAATTTTTTACCATTTTTTTTGAGACAGATAAAGCTTTATTTTGGTGCTATTTATTCACTGCTGGGGTTTTTATTTTTTTTACTATGTAAATGAAAAAGTCCAAACATTTTGAAAAAAGTGTTTTTCTTATAACATTTTGCAAATAAATAATATTTCATCTTAAATGTTGGCCAAAATTTATTCCGTTATCTTTTTAGTAAAAAAAAAAAAAAAATAAGCCAAAAATTATAATTTTTAAAAAAATTTTTTTACATTTTTATATTTTTTTATATTATTATTTATGTTTTTTTTTTACATACTGTCACCCTAGCAGTACAGTGTCACCATGGTGACACTGTACTACTTGTGGGGGGTGATGAAGATTTTTTTTTTTTACACTGATTGCATTTACACCCATATAGGATTCATTTCTCTTTCTCTCTGTCTGCATTCTTGCAGCCATTGAGAACTACTGAGTGAGCTGTGATTGGTAACAGCTTGTCACATGGTACAAGGCTGTTGTGAATAGCCTTGTACCATGTGACCTCTGTGATAATTCACAGATTTCACATGTAGTAAGCAATGATGTCACAAGTGACATCTTGCTTACTACTTTGCATGTGATCACTGATTGGCCAATCAGTGATCACATGATCGGGACCTCGTACAGAGGTCCCATCCGACGATCGGTGTTTCCCTGTGTCCTGAGAATACAGCGGGCACGGGATCGCGGTGCTGCGCGCTCCCAGGGAGCGCACACAAGTAGGGTGCGGGGAGGCCGTTTATAAACAACGGCCAGACGGGAGGTGGTTAAAGTACATGTAAACCCTTACAATGAGCTTCTTTTCGGCCTCTTGGATCAATTTTCTCTTAACAATATGTAATTCTAGTTTTGCTATATCTGTTTAAAAAGTGCCAATAAATACCTGTTGATTGTGGCAGAAATGTAGAGCTGTTTTGTGCGCGTTTCTGTTATCTTAAAGGACCCGAAATATACTATATCTGGCCTCCCACAGTACACAGAACATGGAAATGCAATTATTTTAGTAAATATAAACTGCTAAATACCTTTTCTCATCAGCAGTTAGAGCAGTCTTGTGACTTCAGTGTTCAGGCCAGCACTAGCTAAAGCTTGTAGGAGGTTTTCTTTCTGCTCTAGGAAGATGCAAAACCCCTGACCTCTGTCTGACCAGTGCTGATTGGCCCTGTACTGATCACATGCACTCTCCCAAGGAAAAAAAAAATCTATCTAGCCCAGGGGTGGGCAAACTTTTTGACTTGAGGGCCGCAATGGGTTCATATATTGGACCCGGGGGCCGGACCAAGAGTAGATGAATGATGTGTATGTGTCATCCATAGTAAGTATAGTAATATTCCCCCATAGTAAGCATAGTAATTAATCCCCCATATAGTAATTCATCCCCCATAGTAATTCATCCCCCATAGTAATTCATCCCCCATATAGTAATTCATCCCCCATAGTAATTCATCCCCAATATAGTAATTCGTCCCCCATATAGTAATTCATCCCCCATAGTAATTCATCCCCCATATAGCAATTCATCCCCCATATAGTAATTCATCCCCCATAGTAATTCATCCCCCCATATAGTAATTCATCCCCCATATAGTAATTCATCCCCATATAGTAATTCATCCCCCATAGTAATTCATCCCCCACATAGTAATTAATCCCCCACATAGTAATTCATCCCCCATAGTAATTCATCCCCCATATAGTAATTCATCCCCCATATTAATTCATCCCCCATATAGTAATTCATCCCCCATAGTAATTCATCCCCCATATAGTAATTAATCCCCCATAGTAATTCATCCCCCATATAGTAATTCATCCCCCATAGTAATTCATCCCCCATAGTAATTCATCCCCCATATAGTAATTCATCCCCCATAGTAATTCATCCCCATAGTAATTCATCCCCCATATAGTAATTAATCCCCCATAGTAATTCATCCCCCATATAGTAATTCATCCCCCATAGTAATTAATCCCCATATAGTAATTCATCCCCCATATAGTAATTAATCCCCCATATAGTAATTCATCCCCCATAGTAATTCATCCCCCCATATAGTAATTCATCCCCCATAGTAATTAATCCCCCATATAGTAATTCATCCCCCATATAGTAATTAATCCCCCATATAGTAATTCATCCCCCATAGTAATTCATCCCCCATATAGTAATTCATCCCCCCTATAGTAATTCATTCCCCATATTAATTCATCCCCCATATTAAGTCCCCAAGTCCCCCCTGTGTCAATTCACTTACCTTTGCTCCGCGCGTTCCTCTTGTTCCTCTTGTTCCCGCGCCGTTCGGTGTAGCATGAAAATCTGTCTCCTATGAGGATCTGTCCCCCTCGACGTATCTGCGCATGTGCCAGTTTCAGGCATTAGCAGCCGATCGGCGATCTCCGGCACATGCGCAGATACGCCGAGGGGGGACAGATCCTCATAGGAAACAGGGCGGACTGTGAGAGGAGCCTAGCGGGAGCCTAGCTCCGCGGGCCGGATTAAAAGGTCCGCCGGGCCATATACGGCCCGCGGGCCGTAGTTTGCCCATTGCTGATCTAGCCTATGGTTCAATCTGTCTTCTCAGAAGATAAGAGGTGGTTGCTTGAAAAAAAGAGGAGGGACAGAGAAGAAAGGATCAAACAGCCTTTTTACACAATGCAGAGGATTAACCCCTTAGGCTCCACAGTGAGTATAACAAGCATGCTTTACTGCATATACAGAATGATTTTACTGTTGTGGGTTTAGTAACACTTTAAGGACAGAACAGTTATTGGGTGTGTTATAGGGATCTGAGAGTGTAAGAGTCTGACTTGTTAAGCAAAAGACAACTGGGCAGGGCTGACACCACATCACCTAGTCCAGAGATATGCTTTGTGTTGTCAACCCACAGCAGGACTTAATAATTCAGTGCATTTGTGGCAGATCAACAGGTGTTTTCTTGTAGATATAGGGTCCTTTTGCAAGGGAAAGTACATTTTCCTGACCTATACTGAAGTCCATGATGAACACTGAATAGGTTTGTCCAGCTAACCACAGTAATAGCAGGCATCCTATGATCTCTCCTTTAGTATTTTAGATTTGAATCTTGAATCCTGCATACATTGTTGATGAGGCACTTGTCCTAACTTCCAGCAGATTACAAAACGTTAATGCAATTATGTGTTTATTAAAGAGATGAATGTAACTAGTTTAGGTATGTGGATCTTCCTTGAAATAAGCTTCATGAAATCTGCACAGCTCTAGGAGACGGTCAGACTCGTGCTGATATTGATCATGCTGAGTGGAGGGGAGAGTAGAGTGAGCAAGAGGATGACTTCAACAGTGTTCTGCTTCTCCTTCATTATTCAGACACAGACTTGGGCCAGGCCTTGTGCTGGCCAAGCTGTGCTACTTCTGTATTGAAAGTTAAGGATCTGGCTGTGCATTGTGACAGGGTTGCCTGCAGCACACAAAGTCATACCCATTGGCAGGCAAAACAATTTCCATGTATGAATTTCACAGGTGTAGTTCATTTCTTGCCTGAGTTCAGCTTTAATTAACCTATTGTGTTGGAGGTGTTTTGCATGAAATTCAATTATTACCACTTGACTGCTTATAGACCTGTGCTAACGCTGTGAAGTTTATGCTATAACTTGTGAATTTGATTTGTATAATGTAGATATTACAAGCTGATGGCACATTTGTCAGGGTGTGAAGCGTGCTCTAGTTTAGGACTTGAAGGAATCTTCTTAAAGGTGTCATATGATGTAAACAGCTTGTTGTAAATAGCTTATGAACACATGTATTTGCATTAGAAATATATTTGTTCATAGTTTTAACTGATGATTTATACCTTGAACTTGCCTTTCTCAACCTATTTAACATGGAAGAACCCTTGAAATAACTATTTGATCTCAGGGAACACTGGCTAATAATTACTAGATCTGTAGCTTGTGGTATATTAACATGATAGTCATTTAGAAGAATGCTCCTTACATTGGTGGTCAGTGGGAAGAATGCTCCTTACAGTGAGGAACAGAAGTATTTGAACAGCCTGCGATTTTGCAAGTTCTCCCACTTAGAAATCACAGAGGGGTCTGAAATTCACATTGTAGGTGCATTCCCGCTCTGAGAGACAGAATTAAAAAAAAAATTCAGGAAATCACATTGTATGATTTTTAAAGAATTTATTTGTCTTGCACTGCTGAACATAAGTATTTGAACACCTAAGAAACAGCAAGAATTCTGGCTCTCAAAGACCTGTTACTGTGCCTTTAAAAAGTCCACCTCTACTCCACTCATTAATCTAACTTAGTAGCACCTGTCTGAGCTCTTTAAAGACACCTGTCCACCCCTCAGTCAGTCAGACGCCAACTACTACCATGGGCAACACCAAAGAGCTGTCAAAAGACACCAGAGACAAAATTGTGGACCACCACAAGGCTGGAAAGGGCTACGGGGCAATTGCCAAGCAGCTTGGTGAAAATAGATCAACTGTTGGAGCAATTGTTATAAAATGGAAGAGGCTAAAGACGACTGTCAGTCTCCCTCGGACTGGGACTCCATACAAGATCTCACCTCGTGGGGTATCACTGATGATAAGAAAGGTGAGGAATCAGCCCAGAACTACAAAGGAGGAGCTGGTCAATGACATGAAGAGAGCTGGAACCACAGTTTCAAAGGTCACTGTCGGTACTACGCCATCATGGTTTCAAATCATGCATTGCACGGAAGGTTCCCCTGCTCAAGTCATCACATGTCCAGGCCCGTCTGAAGTTTGCCAATGACCATCTGGATGATCCAGAGGAGGCATGGGAGAAAGTCATGTGGTCAGATGAGACCAAAGTAGCACTTTTTGGTCTAAACTTCACTCGTGTTTGGAGGAAAAAGAAGGATGAGTTGCATTCCAAGAACACCATCCCTACCGTGAAGCATGGGGGTGGTAACATCATGCTTTGGCTGTGCTTTTCTGCGAAGGGGACAGGACGACTGCACTGTATTAAGAAGAGGGTGAATGGGGCCATTTATTGTGAGATTTTGAGCAACAACCTCCTTCCCTCAGTCAGAGCATTGAAGATGGGTCATGGCTGGGTCTTCCAACATGACAACGACCCGAAGCACACAGCCAGGATAACCAAGGAGTGGCTCCGTAAGAAGCATATCAAGGTTCTGGAGTGGCCTAGCCAGTCTCCAGACCTAAATCCAATAGAACATCTTTGAAGGGAGCTGAAACTCCGTGTTGCTCAGCGACAGCCTCGAAACCTGATAGATCTAGAGGAGATCTGTGTGGAGGAGTGGGCCAAAATCCCTGTTGCAGTGTGTGCAAGCCTGGTCAAGAACTACAGGAAACACTTGACCTCTGTAATTGCAAACAAATGCTTCTGTACTAAATATTAACACTGATTTTCTGAGGTGTTCAAATACTTGTGTTCAGCAGTGCAAAAAAATTTTTTTTTTTAAATTCTGTCTCTCACAGTGGGAATGCACATACAATGTGAATTTCAGACCCCTCTGTGATTTCTAAGTGGGAGAACTTGCAAAATCGCAGGGTGTTCAAATACTTCTGTTCCTCACTGTATATTGGTGGTTAGTGGGAAGAATGTCCCTTACATTAGTGGTCAGTGGGAAGAATGCTCCTCACATTGGTGGTCAGAATATCCCTTACATTG